ATTCAAATTTGTTGCCAAAATATAAAAATTTGTCAATGCAAAAACAATGACGTAAGTGCAGTTGTGAATCAGGTAGTCAGCTCTGCTGGACATAGTAAAAGACACAAAATAACTATTCACAAGTCATTTTCTCAAAAGTTCAGGAGTTTCAATTCTATACCAAGGATGGAAAAGGTTAGCACATTGGTAGCAGCCAACACTAAACAAAATAAATAACGTCACTTGTATTTGTGGTACCACTGAGAAAACAATAATGAAGACACATTGGATCCAGCGAAAGGCGACACAAACAAAGAAAAGGAAAGAATATAGGGAACGTTTGGATCTCAGGCAAGCGCTCGCCTAGCCTGGCCCAGCAAGGAAGCGGGGCATTTGGTTTCTGGGCGAGCACGCCTCGTTACCAGCGGTTTCCAGCTTTTTTCGCGTTTCATCGAGCGAGCCGATTCGGCTCGCCTCCGTCGGCAAGGCTGGCCCTGCCTAGCAAGGCAATCAGGCGAGGGATCCAAACGTTCCCATAAATACCTTTCTTCCCTAGTTATGGCTTTTAATCTACTCCCTCTTACACTACACTAGTATAAAAAACGTTCTTATATTATGGGACGGAGGGAGTATATCTTTACTCATACTCAAAGAATACCACTTTTTTCTCCTCACCAACCACAAAAGGCATGCACATGGTACCAAAGTGATTATGACACTAAAGAACTATTCACAAGTCCTTTCTGTTAAATCTTTCTTTTTTTTTGCGGGATGAAAAATTCATCATCCTCTAGAAACTTTCATGGGTGAAAAATTCCACACATCTATCAATTACTAATTAGGTGGCAACACAAATAAGAGAATTCTTCATATCTGTCATCAATGAAATTCTAATGATTCCTTAATTGTCAGCACCCAAAGCGGTTAGAACCAATCTCCCTGTGAAGATACTACAGCTAATTCTACCATTGTGAATTTAAGTGCCCCCAATTCAACTCTCCACATTGGAAGTATGAACAATTCCAGATACGCCGAGTCTGAGCACAGATTTCCCTCTCGGATGCAAAAGAAACCTTGCAAGCGGAAGCAAAAGAAGAGCGGGCTTTACCGATGAGGATGATGCGCTTGTCGGGCTTGGAGCTGCACTTGGCGCGGCGGAGCACCTCGGTGATGAGATCCACCGACGGCACGTCCTCTAGGTTCGCCGCCATCTCTTCCCCCGCCGACGGAACGGAAACAACTCGAGTCGCGTGCCCTGCGACCGGCGCGGAGGCGTCCGAGATTCGGAAGGTGAAGCCGGTGGGTGGGTGGAAACAGGCAATGAGATTAGGGGGAGGGGCTGCAGGTTTGGTGCGTGCTGGTGAGAGGCGACGGGAGAAACGAGGTCGTGACGGCGGCTGGGAACCTGCTGGGCACGTAGAAATCGAAGGATCTGGGTTGGGGTGCTGGCGTGCTGCCCCTTGTTGGGCCCGGCCGACATATAAGAAAAAGAGTCCATTATGATTTCGGCATATCTCTTCTCTTCTACCCCTCAAAAAAGAAATCAGCTGCCTTGCTTGAGGGGCTGAAGCTAGCAAAAAATCCGGGATGCTCTAATCTGGCGGTGAGATCAGACAACAGCACGGTGATGGATGCTATAAACTGCAACGAAGGGTATTCTAGAATGGCAGCGCCGGTTTTTGATGATTGTCGTACTATTTTACTCCCTTTGTCCCATAATATAAGAACGTTTTTGGCACTAGTGTAGTGCCAAAAACGTTCTCATATTATGGAACAGAGGGAGTACTAGATTTCGAAAGGGTTAATATTGAGCATTGTAGTAGAGTGACAAATTATGTAGCTCATGAGTTGGCTAGATGGGGACGTGCAAATAACCCTTCTCTTTGGGTTGATGCCCGCCTGAGTTCATCATAATACTACTAGCGGACAATGTTACTATTATTTGATTAATAAAGTAAAGTCTTTCGGTCAAAAGAAAAAAAATCTTCTCTTTAAAAAAACTCTTTTCTTACGACTCAAAAAACAATATCTTTTCTTCTCTCCTACCCTTTCCTACTTCAAAAAAAAAACTCCTACTTAAAAAGTAGGGAAATGATTGCCATCAGTTGACTGATAATCACCGTGCGTCTGCCGCTTCCGTTGCGTGTCATGCATCCTCAGCGTAAAGGCAAGTGCAAGCACTTATTTCTACAATGGCGGCGAACGACTACTGTGATGTGACGTGGGTTAGTTTTGTAGAAATATAATCCTGAAACAAGTCTTCTGTTGCTAAAAAATCCGCAACAAGACGGTTATTGCAGGAAAATTCTAAAAAATATTGCAACAAGATGTCTGTTGCAAAAAAAAAACACAACAAGATCTGTTGCAAAAGTTCTGCAACAAGATGTCTGTTGCAAGAAATTTTTGCAACAAGGCATGTGTTGCAATGGTCATTGGTAATGCTCGGCTGCTCGCGCGCTCCGGCCGATCTTTTAAAAAGAGATCAGCCGACGGATGTGTAGCGCGCCCCTAAAAAGTAACATTTTAACTAAAACTAATCTTTTTTATCAAAAAAAACTAAAACTAATCACTTGAATTAGCCCCTCCTGTTTCCTCGCCCCTAACCCACAAACACACACAATGTGCAATGCGGCTAGGGTTTATTCTCCTTCTTGAGCCACCATCTAGGCGCAAGGTGACGGAGGGGAACTCGGTTCTTCGTTTGATGTGTACTTGTTTTTGTGTAGATTTAGTTCATGTGTCCCATCGACGATGTTGAGGCAATGTCGAGATCGTGGTAATGGATTGAGTCCACGGGCCTCCTTCCCGTCATGCTGGTGTTCGTTTCAACACCTGTGGCAGGCTTGTGAAGGTGCGGCCCCGTCGATCCGGGCAACCATATTTATTGGGTGGTGTGATGGTGTTGAGGATGTGAGTCAGAATAATCGAGCCCAATGCTAGATCTAGGCGAGCGCTAAAGTGGTACAGGAGTGCCTCCTCTCTTCATCAAGCCGCAGATGGGTGTTTTCTTCAAATATGTATTTTGTCTTGTCTCGGTTTCTATTGTGGTTCCTATCGCGCATGGATGTGTGTGTTGTTGCTAGAGATTCTGGTGTGGTTTATACAACCACTCTTTTTTGACTAATAGTTTCATCGACCATGAGGTTGACGACTTTCTTCACAGGCTTGCTAAGAAGATGGAGCCGAAAGACTTTGAAATTACGACATATATTTTGTTTCTTGTTTGGGTCTTCAGATGTATTCCTTCATGTTTCTTAGATATAATGAAATACTAGCATGGATGTTGCAACATCACACAACAGGAATGGACGGGTGGCCTCGTGATGTGGGAAGCGGCCGGATCTGGCCTCCCAATGTCCGGCGGCTGCAGCGGCTGTTGGGCGTCGTGGCTACTGTTCGGTGCTCTCCAAGGTAGGTCCGTGTGGTGGCGGGCAACGAATGGGTGTCGATTTGAGGCCTCCAGATTAGTTTTGGCCTGCGGCAGCGCCTTTCATGTGGTTGTCGCAGTGAGTTGCAATCTATGGTCGGCGGCTTGACTCAGAGGATATGGTTGTTCAACGGCTGTGACGGGATTTCTAACTCAACGCATGTAGCTTTTGTTAGCGTGGAAAAGCAATGGCAACAACACATGATTGACTTTGAATTGCCGGTACTTTTTGAGTACCACCGGTCTTGAGTTTTGGGGTGAAAATTCTAGGTCTGACGTACTTGGTTATACTTGCAATGGTGATGACTTGCGTCGTTACCTTGTTGAAGACATTGCTCGGATATGCACCGACTTGTTTTTAAGAATGAAAACCTAGATTCTGCATTTGGTGGTTGGATTCGATAACGGTGGCGCTTGGGCATCGTTTTCTTCATATAGGCTTTGTTGTCGAAGAACCTCATTGTCCTTGTGCTGTCAAATGATGGTTTGGTGCGGATACGGTTGTTGATGTAGTTCGTTGATCGCCTCGTGTTTCTTTTTCTTTTTCCTCGCTTGGGCATAACATTGGTTTTGTATGACTTTGCTAGACATAGCATTGGTCTTGTATGACTTTGCTTTTCGCCGGCATTTTGTGTGTGTGTGTGTTGGTGTTAGATGTGTGCATCCTAGCTATGCAGAAGAGGGTGTGTGCTCATCATGTGTTTGCATTCGCTTGATGTTTTTTTATTTTGAGTCAATAAAATCCACGCTTTGTTGAAAAACTACCATGGGTGTTTCTTCTGGAAAAAAAATAACGTTCCATGTTTCATCTTCCATCAGTTTTTTTCCACTCACCGTTTTTTTCTAAATACCTTTTCCACCTTGGTTTTTATTCCACCCACGTGGCATGAAACTTCCTCCCAAATTTTCCAGTACTGATTTTCACCGCACTCCAACACATGGGGTTAGGCACTAATAATCAACTTCGCAAGCCTAGGTTAAGTGAATGTTTGATTCCACATGTAAACTCTCATTCCCTTTCCCTTTTCCTTTCCCG